CTTAGTGGTAACTTCAGGTGAAGTAATTCCAGTAGTTGAACTGTATGTCATAGTCAACCAGGGGATTGTGTTGAAGGTGTATCAGTGCTTCTCTTCTCTGCTGCCATTGTACTGGCTGGTTCCAATGTAGTATCAGTGCCTGGTTCGACTGTTTTTGCCTTAGTAGTAACTTCAGATGAAGTAATCCCAGTAGTTGAACTGTATGTCATAGTCACACCAGTGCTTCTCCCCTCTGCTGTCATTTTACTGGCTGGTCCCAATGTAGTATCAGTGCCTGGATCGACTGTTTTTGCCATAGTGGTAACTTCAGGTAAAATAATACCAGTAGTTGAACTGTATGTTATAGTCACACCAGGGGGCTGTTTTGGAGTTGTACCAGTGCTTCTGTCCTCTACTGTCATTGTACTGGCTGGTCCCAATGTAGTATCAGTGCCTGGTTCGACTGTTTTTGCCTTAATGGTAACTTCAGGTCCACAGTTGAACTGTATGCCACAGTAACACCAGGGGATTGTGTTGGCGGTGTGCCAGTACTGACTGGTTCAAATAAAGTATTAGTGCCTGGTTTGACTGTTTTTGCCTTAGTGATAATTTCAGGTGAAGTAATTCCAGTAGTTGAACTGTATGTCATAGTTACACCAGGAGATTGTGTTGGAGGGGTACCAGAACTCGCTGGTTGTAATGTAGTATCAGTGCCTGGTTCGACTGTTTTTGCCTTAGTGGTAACTTCAGGTGTCACAGTCACACCAGGGGATTGCGTTGGAGGTACATCAGTGCTTCTCTCTTCTGCTGTCATTGTACTGAATGGTTGTAAAGTAGTACCAGTGCCTGGTTCATCTGTTCTTGCCCTAGTGGTAACTTCAGGTGTCATAGTCACACCAGGGGATTGTGTTGGCGGTACACCAGTGCTTCTCTCTGCTTTCATTGTACTTGCTGGTTCCAATGTAGTATCAGTGCCTGGTTCGACTGTCTTTGCCTTAGTGGTAACTTCAGGTGAAGTAGTTCTAGTAGTTGAACTGTATGTCATAGTCACCTCACGGGATTGTGTTGGAGATGCACCAGAGCTTTTCTCCTCTGCTGTCATTGTACTGACTGGTTCCACAGTAGTATCAGTGCCTGGTTCAACTGTTTTTG